TTGAGTAGCATACATGTATGTGTTGATTTTTTTTCCAGCTTCTATTTTCAAAAATATCCTGACATGAAAATAAAATAAGTTAACCATACAACAACAAAAAAATAAAAATAAAATGAAGTTAACTAATCAAATAAAAACTTTAAAGAATATTTAATTATGAGTTAAAGATAAAGGAAGGATGTTGTTATCAACATTACATAATGTTCCAAAAACTACAAAAAGAAGAAAAAAAAAATCTCTATAAACTACAAAGAGAAGCAAAGAGAAAAAAATCAAATTAGTTTTTTTTACTAAAAAAAAAATGTGATTCATATTATCATGAATTCAAAAATAATAATATTGAATATAATTGCAACAGAGAAAAAGTGATAACCATATTAGGCACATCAAATAGTTTCCCTTGTAAAATCGAACTGCACAGAGATATCTAACAATCTTCATCCTGCAAAATCAGATCAAAGAAGAACAAAAAATTAACCAATAAAAGAGATAAAAGATGAAGAATAAGAAAAAATGTAAAAAATATGAAAGGTTATAAGTGTGGTTTTGAGATGTCATAGATTTGTATATTAAATTATTTGAGGGTTATGAATATGAAAGGTTAGGAGTTATGAAATTTATTAATATTTATTAAGAGTAAAATTTATGTAATTGAAGAGGTAAGAAAATAAAATAATTGAAAGAAATAAGAGAAAAATGCCAATAAAATCACAAAAAAAGATAAATAAGAATGGGAGCGTCACATCACCGTTTTCATATTCAGCTTTATTATAATATATAGATTATATATTTAGGTATATCATTAATTAGCACATACTACTCTTTAAATTTTTTAAAATTAAAAAAAAAAATTCTTTTTAAAAGTTGTTTTCTATTCTCACGCACTACTCATTTGTTTTCATCCAAATGCTTTAAATATCGCAACAATCGTATTTATTGATTTAAAGTGTGAATGTTACAATCTTTATGATTCCTCTGAATTCGTTTTTTCAGATATAATTCACGGCTCTTGAATTTGTCTTGAACTTGATCTTGGATTCAAGGGTTTTAAAGTTTGTTCTTGAATCTTCGATGAACTTGAACTTAAACTTTATCTTGATCTTGACTCTTCTTTGAATTCAAGGGTTTCGAGCTTGTTCTTGAATCTAATGATCTTGATCTTGATCGTTGTTGAACTTGAATGCTTGAATTCTTAAACTTGTTTCAATTCTTAAACTTGTAGCTTATAGAGAAATCTATGGCGTTTGTACCATGGGCTTTTCTCTAGCTTCTTGTTTAGAATTTTCGGTCTCGTTTCTGAATTATGAGGACCCCTATTTATAGTTTTAGAATAGAGGAGTTGTGATTGGAACAGGATTCCTTCGGCCAATCAAATTTAAGTGACATGGCATATGGCTTTATGGAGTAGGCTTTTCATTTTTGACACATGTCATGATCCTATTGGCTTCTTGTTTGACTTGGCATGCCACATCATTTGGCTTCTTGTTTGACTTGGCATGCCACATCATTTGTCATGTGGCACCAAAAATGGACATCTAGGATGAAATGAAATTGGGCTTAGCGAATTGGGCTCATCTATTGTAGTCCAAATCACTTAGTTTAGACTTTAATTAAATCCATATTTATTGGATTTAAATAATTAACTCAATTATATTAATTCATAATATTTATTTGGACTAACATATTCATGAATTTAATATAATTCGAATTATTTTATAAATTTATATTTAATAAATTTTAAATGATTACATATGAGTTCGACGATCCTGACTATTAAAGATTAATATCTAGATATTTACTATCTAATAAAGGGGAATAGCAGGCAGCAGACCGTCAACACGTCTGCTTGTGCTGCCTGCTTATTCCCCTTGGCTGCCTCTTTTATTAAAAATTTAAAAAAAAAACAAACTACATACTGCCTCTTTTTCATCCAATTAGAAAATGGAAAAAACCTGTCGTATGCTCCCTCTTCTTCATCCAATGAAAAAATGTGGAATCCATTTAAAATTTCAATTGTAAACTTACTTTTTTAAGATTCTTCATAAGATGGGGTCATGAAAATATTTTATGGGCTTCACTTCTATTTTATATTTATCATGTTTATTTTTATTATTTATTTTTAATTATATTATAATTAATTCTTAAAATTATATCGGTGAAATATATCACAAATAAATATGGGAAAATTACACAGTTAAGCAAATTTATACTACTTAATTACTCATAATAGTTATAATTTGCTATAATTATCATTCGCGACTAACATTATACATTAATTATGTGGGCTGACTTTGAGTTTGTATAATTAGCCTATAGTAATAATTCGCCAGAATATACAAATATATATGTGTAATATACAATTATGTGAACTATCTAACCGATATACATATACAATTCACTTCTTTGTCCTCTCTCGCTCGCCTCTCTCCTCCCTCTCACAATCTCGCTTGACTCTCTCCTCCCTCTCCCAATCTCGCTTGCCATATATACAAATGCATAATATACAATTATCTAACTGATATACATATAATTCACCTCTCTCCCACTCTCTGCACAATATTGCTCACTTCTCTCCTCCCTCTCCCAATCTCACTTGCCTCTCTCCTCCCTCTCCCAATCTTGCTCGCCTCTCTCCTCCCTCTCCCAATCTCGCTTGCCATTTATACAAATACATATGTATAATATACTATTATCTAACCGATATACATATACAATTCACCTATCTCCCACTCTTTGCCCTCTCTCGATGGCCTCTCTCCTCTCTCTCCCAGTCTCGCTCGCTTCTCTCCTCCCTATAACATGTAGCTATGAATTGTAATTATCAAACTATAGCTATGGAGAGTAATTAGGCTATTTTTGAGTGATTATATGTGAAAGTTCCTCAATAAACCTTACGAATTTCAAATAATGATGATTGGGCCCGTGCAAAGCACGGGCTTCCCCTTTCTAGTATATATATATATAATGGAGAATAAGAAATGAACAACTTTCATTTTGTTATGACAATTGGAATACTCTTACCATTCAATGCCCCCCACACCGCAAATCTTCCTTCTTAATACTATTATTTCCTTGCTTATGTATGACTAGCTCTTTTTTTATTTGTAAATACTGACTCCGTTCACTTTTATTTGTCACTTATTTTTAAATTAAATTTTCATTTTTATTTGTCAGTTTTTGACATATCAAGAAAAGATTATAATTTTTTTCCATGTTTTACCTCAGCATTAAATACTTATTTTTCAAATCATTTTTCAAGACATCATTTAAAAGGGATAGTTTGGTAAAATACATATATCAATAATTATTTTCTTAATAGATGTGTCAAGTCAAAGTGTTACAAGTAAAAGTGAATGAAGTGAGTATTTTTTTATTAGTTCATCATACCTTTTACATTAATGTCCTCTTTCATCTATAAAAACAAAGACAATAATATTTATCTCCATAAAAATGAGACATATAAAAACTCTTTCACACCCGACAAAATATAAATATGGAATTGATTTTTCAGTTGTAGAAAATTGATAATTTTATCCTAATTATGGATAAGTTACATATTTAGGCACCCGACTAACAATATTAACAATCGAATGGACACAAAATTGATTATACTAATCATAATCACATATATATATATATATATCACAAGTTGTCAAGTTGTATATACATTGTATGCATGCATTTTTCACTATATACACACACTTAAGTGCATACTGTGTACAAAATATGAGAGAATTGAATGTTTATAAATAGTGTATATGTATATGTGTGATACATAGTGTAGATACATATTTTCATCCTATATAAATATATACACATTATAAATATTTTTGTCCGCACCCATTGCAATCCTTCATGCCCACATTTTTGTATAATTTGTGTATACTAAATATAGGAAAATGGGCAACTATATTCCTCAATTTTGTAACTTGGAAAGAATATATTCCTCATTAAAAATGTGGTGCACGCACGTATTCTCATTGTTTAATTAACAAATGATCCATATTTTACTTTTTTGATTGAATTACAAAGTTCAATTACCCGTCAAAGGCCAGGGATTGCTCGAAGAGAAGTTCCACATTGAGGAGTAAAACACTCCATAACAAAGGATAACAAAGGACACTCTGTAAGCAAGGATATTCGAACCCGAAACCTCTAGTTAAGGATGAATAAGTATTTACATGCATGAAGGAAGAATCTTTTCCCGTCAACAATCTTACAAATTGGAAGATCTTATGCTCTAATAAGGTTCAATAATCCTTTGCCACCTTTGGAGAATAGGTAATGAGTAGGGGTGTGTATCGGTCGGTTTGGTTCGGTTTTAAGTATTATCGGTTCGGTTTATCGGTTTTTGGTTTTTAAATATACTAAACCGATAACCAAACCTATAAGATATTTGTTATCGGTTTTCGGTTTATCGGTTTTGGTCTTTAAAGGTTCGGTATGTGCAAAAACCAAACAAACCGTCCAAAATTACTGTATATTACTGTCTAAAATTTATATCCCCATGTATATTACTGTTACATTTGTAGTAATAAACAACATCTACAACATGTATATATTTCATGTAAATTATATATATCAGTGTATATCACACAGACTTCCATGGATATTCAGGTAGATGCATGACTATACAAAGGAATATACACTTATATATATATATATATATATATGTGTGTGTGTGTGTGTGTGTGTGTGTGTGTGTGTGTGTGTGTGTGTGTGTGTGTGTGTGTGTGTGTGTGTGTGTGTGTGTGTGTGTGTGTGTGTGTGTGTGTGTGTGTGTGTGTGTGTGTGTGTGTGTGTGTGTGTGTGTGTGTGTGTGTGTGTGTGTGTGTGTGTGTGTGTGTGTGTGTGTGTGTGTGTGTGTGTGTGTGTGTGTGTGTGTGTGTGTGGATACACACATATATACATGAAGATACACAAATATAAAACAACCTTAACCACCAAAATTAAAACCAAACCACATCACATCTTGACCATTCATTTTATTTATTGTAATAGTAATACTTCTCAAATAGAAAAAGAAGAAAGAATGCCACGTTTGGTTTACACCTAATCCATAATTAATTGCATAAAATAAATAAAAATCTTAAGAGGAATTAATAATTGACTAGAAAATTACTAGTCCTATTTATAATAATTATGTATGTCATTTAGACTCAGGTAGATCAGTTCCATCAAGAAAATGCATGATAAGTGAAAGGGCTCTAGCTGGTTCATAACCTGGAACTTGATGTCCTGCTCCTCTTACTGTAGCAAATGTCATATCTCCTTTATATACTTGTGTGGATCCACCCAACTATAAATTTAAATACAACAAAACAAATACAAGAACTTTAAAATAAGATTGAATTATTATTATTATTATTATTGTACTATTAAGTGATAAAATGGAAATTAATTTAGAGTCTAGTAATATTATTACCTCTCCATTTAGGAACCAAGGATGCCATGGAGTTTTGATAGGAAGATTCATTATTTTAATAGATTTCTTGGTTGAGGTAACAGGGACCCTTCCATCAGTATCACCACTGCATTTTCAGAAATAATATAACAAAGTTCAAAAAGCTATGTTTCAATTAATAAGCTTTTTTTATCAGAGAAAAAAAAGACTGGTTTTATTTAAGCAAATTGGTATCAAAATTCCCTAATTATATTCAAAAACAAAGAAAGTTACAACAACCACCTAAATTGCCATACCAACAATAACAACATATCCAATCAAATCCACAAGTGAGATCTAAGAAGGATAGAGTGTACGCAGACCTTAACATTACATTGTGGAGGTAGTGAGGTTGTTTTCGAAAGACTCTTGACTCAAGTGCAACAGTCGAAAAACATAGCGACTAAAAAGAAAAGCAATGCAAATTCTACAAGAAAGGAACAAGAACAATAAAATAGTGCGATAATTGAAACACAATAAACAACAGATGATGATAGATATCAAAAGCAAGAACTATAATAATAATTGTTATCTAAACAACAAACAATGATAGATAACAATAGCAGGCCCTTCTATCTAAGTTTATATCCTTGATAATCATGAAACTAAATAAATACATAAGTCGAACAAAAATAAAATTGTAAGTGAAGGATAATTAAGTGGTCACCTGAATATCCACACTCGAATATCATTTGCCATAAACTCTTTGAGAAGAGGAATAATCGTTGATGCACTGTCTGTCCAATTTGTTAGGACGTCACTGAAATTATTATTTTAGCATAAGTTCAATTTAATTAACTCCTAAAAAAGGCTAATTAAATTAATTAATTACTAATAGGAATTATATAAAAGTACTATAAAATGGCTAATTAAAATTATTAGAAAATATACCTGCAAGGTTGCCAAGTAGAATATTTAATATTGGTAACATTAGCATGGAGAGCCTTTTGAACATCAGGCCTATTCATATAGGCAGTTGTGTAATAATCACTACATGGATCGATCACTAACTGCATTGTATAACATATGGTATATCTATTATCACGAACAAATAATATATTCAATATAATTTTATAAGTGAAGTCTGGAGACTTACGGAAGGTCTTTTGGGCTTGGAAGTGAGATTGGTATTGTGGCAAAGTGGAGCATATATGGCATAGATATCAATGTGGCCATGAGTATCATAATCTGCTATACTTCCAGCCATTTTGCACTCATCTGATTCTTCACTTTCTGGTATTGTAAACTTACATTGCTTTTGAATTTCAGCTTCAACTTCATCAGAAATTAAAGCATGACTTGCAAAATATTCATACATTCCTCTTGTATCCGTCTCATCATTAATCACAGCATTACCAATCTGCACCCATAATCAAGGTGTGTATATATATAAATGATTAATAATTAAAATATATTGAGTAATTAGGACTAATAATGATCATTAATCACTGCAACCAACTTGCAAAATGTTTCTTGGCTAATTTTATATTTTTAGATAGAAAAATATGTGAAAATTGACCGGATATCATAAGTTGCTTTAAATTTTTTAAATATTAATAGAATGAGAAGTCAAGAAGCAGGCACCTCATGGTCACGTTTCTGCTTTTAGCGAAGGTATTTATGTAAAAACTTTTTGGGACAAATTACTTAACTACACTCCTTTACTTACCTTAATATCCATTTATCCCTACTTATTTCAAAATTCTCAAAAATCCCTTATTTACCTATGTATCCCGCATATATCCCGTGCACAACGATATGTATCCCGTGCACAACGCTATGTATCCCGCTATATGGAATGTATCAAACCTAATGTATCCCGTGCACAATGCTATGTATCATGCTATGTGAAATGTATCAAACCTAAACCTAATGTATCCCGTGCACAACGTTATGTATCTCGCAAACATCATTTTTAAGGGATTTTTGATAAATAGAAAACTAGAAGGGATAGGATATTATTTAGTACTTATAATATGTGGTTCCTATAATTTATACTCTCTTTTTTCGTCTTTTAAATATTTAAAAATTATGTTAAAAAATCATAAAAACATGATAACTAACGAGTAAATGATATTTTAAAGAGAATATTAAAAGTTGGAGTATATCGTACTCTTGAAAACTTCAAGGAGACTATTATAATATACTTATCTTTTTGACGAAAATTATATATATATATATATTATATATATATGACGGCTCATCCACTCTGACCCATATTTTTTGTCGGGAGGATGTACTCTTCAATTCATTTGATTAAAAAAAAACTTTTGGAAATTGGAATTCGTGATCTACAATAAAAATTTAAATATTTATGTGGTCGTTATAAATTATTTTATTAAAAATAAAGAAAAAAATTTAAGTTAAATTATTTATAATTACAAAAATGTTACATTATAGTTTCTTTAATTAGAATAGACTAATCAGAAAATATGTCACATAAATTGAGATTAAGCATATATAACTTATTTCCAAAAAAGAAAAGAAAAAAAAGAGGGTATATAACTTATAAGACATACAATACTTTACGAATTCTTTTAGTACTACATGTGCATAATTAATTGCAACATGTTAGGATAATAATAACAGTAATATAGGTGAATTCTGAATTTATTGGTATTGAATTATATTTTTTTAAAATATAAATTCGTCTTATCTCTTATTTAATGTTACTTTGGTGAACTTTTATATATAAATTACATTTTACTAAAAAAATATTGAATTCAGATAAATTACGGTTGAAATTTTGCATCCACCTTTGCAGTAGAATAAGAATAAAATGTGGCATGATCAGGGGTGGACCTACCCTTATCCGAGGGGTGTCAAGTGATACTTTTTCGTCGAAAAATTATATTTTATATAGAGGTCAAATTTTGATTATTTTTTTTAAATGGTTCTTTTATCATGTATTATTCATATCGAAAATGAGTACATTGGTAATGGGAGATGGAGGGTTAGTATCCCACTCCATCGGATCAGACATAGAAAAAGATGCTCTAGCAAGACAATGAGCAACCTGATTCGCTGATTTCTTAACAGCCGAAAAAGGTCAAATTTTGATTTAATAAACATATTATATACAAGTATTGACACTTTTTAACACAAATTAAAGGTTTAATCTAGTGATTAATGTGTTATGAAAATGTCTTAAAGGTAGTGTGTTCTCTTGTCTTACTAAACTCATAATTATTTTATTTTTATTACAGCCGTTAATACTCCTTAATAACAATTCTTGATTCGCTATTGAGCATGATGATTGAGTGAAGATTTAATCACAACCGTTGTTTTATTTTCTACAAGTAGCTTCTGAAAATAGGACCCATAAGATTTAGAACAAAGTGATAAGTAACTGCAACATACTATTAGTATCTAAACATTTTGAAAAAAGATATATTGGTGTCATTCATACTTCACTATCACACTCTATAAAACTAATACTCTATATTTGATATATCCATCTGTCTTTGACAGCTGCTTTTTTTTTCTTTAATAGATATTAAATGTGAAGACGTTGTCTACTAGTTGTCTACTAGTTTTTTAGGTTTTATATGATTTTTTGTAAGAGAATTTTAATTTTATACCTCACGGATTTAAAAGAAGTTATTTTACTCTATTTATTTTGTAAGCAATCGAGAATCTTAATTCATTTCTAGTTTGCACTATAGTGCTTATTATTCAAGCACCTAAGGATGTGGCTTAAACAGTAGTCAATGAAGTGGTTGAGAATTATGATGTCTCGGGTTCAATTCTCAATGGGGACAAAAAAAAACTAGTTGATTCTTTTCATCTGTCTTAGTTGTGATGAACATAATTATTATCTTTTCATAAAGGTAATAATCTTTCGACATATCTCAAAAAATTAATCGAGGTACGTAAAAAACTAACTCGACATCATAATTATTAAAGAAATAACATATATAGATCTTATTTGTTTCCTTAGGGGTCGTTTGGTTACTGTATAAGAGACATCTTATTCATGTATAAAAAGTTGCATTAGCTTTACTGTGTTTGGTAGAAGTTTTGTATTAGGTATAAAAGTCAGCATAACTTATACCACGTTTGGTTGGTAAGAATTTAAATGCTGTATAAAAGTTATTCATGTATTAATTTATACGGTGTTTGGTTGCATTTTTGTAGTCCTACATAATTAATACCAACATAACTTATGAGGGAATCTATGTATAAAGTTATGCAGGGTAGAAGGTGGAATAAGTTATGTGGGTATTAGTTATACATGTATTAAAATGATAGATTACATATTTACCCTATTAATTTATTTTTTATTTTTTAAT